GGCAGATGATTCAGCTGGATGGGGCAGTTGGAGCCAGATCTTGAAGGGCCTCAAATGCCAGCCTGAGGAATCTGACTTTTATTTTGTGAGCAATAGGGAGTCATGGAAGACGTGGAGGGGTGTGTCTCCCTCCTCACTAGCACAGAGAAAGGCACAGGGAGATGTTCAGTGGAACCTTGCTGCCTGACTTATTGATACTGATTTTTCTCCTGTCCCACTAGGGTCAGAATGGCCTGGGGCTACCGGATGATTCCTAGCAGGAACAGAAGGCCCTGCAGCTCTACCTCCTCTCCTCCATTTAGCTCTTCTCTGCAAGGATGGGCAAATTATTCAACTTCTCTGAGCCTCAGTTCCTCACCTATAAAATGGGGACAGCTGGGCACAGTGGCTCATGCCTATAATCCCAGCACTTTGGGAGGCCGAGGCAGGTGGATCATCTGAGGTCAGGAGTACAAGACCAGCCTGGCCAATGTGGTGAAACCTCATCTCTACTAAAAATACAAAATTACCTGGGTGTGGTAGCGGGCGCCTGTAATCCTAGCTACTTGGGGGACTGAGGCAGGAGAATCTCTTGAGCCCGGGAGGTGAAGGTTGCAGCGGGCTGAGATCGCACCACTGCACTCTAGCCTGGGCAACAAGAGCGAAACTCTATCTCAAAATAAATAAATAAAAATAAATAAAATGGGGACAATACACCAACCTTGCAAGCTGCCAGGATGGAATGAAGTCAATGTGCACAGCACAGCAGGTGCAGCCTTATGACATGGGGACCAGGTGGCATCGTGGAAAGAACACAGCTCAGAGGACCTATGTTGAATCCCAGTTTCCCCCCAGTAATGCCCATCTCTTAGGGCAGATGGAAAGATTAAAATCAACGAAATGATTTATGGGAAGCACCTGACACTCAGCAGATGTCTGGAACCCTGTTTGGCACCTGCCTGACAGCACAAGAAATCCTGCTCCTCCTCCAAGCTTCCGGGGTGCTGTCCCCTCACTCAGCATGCTGCTCCCCTCCTGCCCCGCAGGAGGCATTTTAGTCCCTGCACTTGCTGTCGGCTCACCTGCCTCTCAGCACTGGGCACACAGACTTTCTTTACCCCTTGCAAGAAGCTTTTACATGAATCTTCCTCCTGGTGAATGCACCCACCTATTGTTTTATTTATAGGCAGGACAGTGGCTCCTTGCTGCGTAGATGAGAGAAGAGACCCAGAAAGGGAAGAAGACCACCACTGTCTAAGCACCTACAACGTGCTTTATACTGAGGCATTATACTCATTACACTCATTATACCCATTATACCCAGTTCTTCTCCACAAAAGCCCAAGAGGGAGGTATTATCCTCCCCACTGCATACATGTGGACACTGAGGCTCAGAGATGGGCTGTGACTTGTCCAAGGCCACACAGCAAGGAACTGGCTGAGGTTGAAGGCAAAACCAGGTCTTTCTGATTCTGGAGTCTGGGATTTAGAACAAACATTTGCAATGTGGGGTTAACAGATCGGTCCCTTAGGGCTGTTTCACGGACCACATAGGGTAATAGGTGCGGTGGGGCCTTGCATGGTGCCTGGCACACAGGGACTGGGAGCAGAAGTGGAACCTTGCCCATCCCCACCCAATCTTACAGAGAATAGAGGAGCCCAGGGTGGGCTGTGATGTGCCCAAGGTCACGGCGAGCCGTCGGCAGAGCCCAGGTTCCCTGCCCCTAGGCCCCCTGCCTTCCCTTGCCCACCCTTTCCAGTTAAGGGCAGGGGCCATCCCTCCAGGGCCTTTCCCTCCCCAGACAGTGGAAATTCCCAGAGTCCCTCCGACCTGATAGGAGAGTGACCAAGAGCAGGAATTTTCACCCTGGCACACGTACCTGGAGTCTGGGGCTGAACGCTAGAATCCCAGGCTTTGCCACTCCCAAAGGCCCCTCCTGGTCCTTTCAGAGCCTCCCCCACCCTTCTCTCCAGGACCTTCACCAGCACCTTGCTCCTCTCCTGGTGGAGAGGGGGTCCCCCAGAGGCTCTGGTGCTCTTAAAGGGGATTGCGAGTTGGCAAGGCCAGGGGCGTGAAGCACAGTGTTTTATGATTTTATTTTATCCTAGGGAAGGTTGAAGACAATGCCCCATCGTAGAAAGAGCCCTGCCTCCTGACAGCAGCCAGTCCAGAGCAAAGGCCCGATCCTTAAACCCTCGCCAAGCCACCGAGCACTGGCCCAAATCCAGGAACAAGTCCTTTCTAATGCTTCTTTCAGAGACTCCCCCTGGCTCACTGTGGTGTTCATTCCCTCTTCCTTCGAGGAGAAACCCAGCTTGTTAACCACAGGTGTGCTCCAGGCGGTCTCTGGCTGCAGCGCACTGACAAGATAGGTCCCATCAAATACCCACATCACTTCCAAGATCCCAAGATATGCGCACTTCATCTGTTATTTGCACATGAGAAAGCTGAGGGCTACAGAGGCAACCAGACTTGTCAAAGGTCACAGAGTAGGTAAGGTAACACATTGTATCATCCAAACGAGATATCTTTGAGAGCGAAAGGGGGCCTCCTCATAACTGAGCAGAGGCAGTCGGTGTCAACCAGGACCTTCCCGGGCAGATCAGATGCGTGGTCTCTCCATCATGCAGCAAGAGCGAGGAAGACCAAGCCTGAGTCTCACCATCTCACTCCACTACCCCAAGCCCCCTTCTGATGCTAACTCTAGGACAGGGTTAGCATCCCCCTGCTGGCAGGCCCAGCAACCAGAGGCTCTTGTTTAAGTCTAAAGCCCCTGCAGTTGTGGTTCAGGGGTGTGGGGATCACCCCTGAGATTCAGCCCCACACGTAACTCCCCACAGTCATGCCACGGCAGTAAGGGCTTACTTCCCGAAGAGGGCCTGTGGTGCCCACCAGGCGTGAGGCCTCACATATCCTGCCCCGAGGGAATGGGTGGTTTTAAAGAAAAGAATTTGCAGGTGAATGAAGATGACCCCTTTAAATGTTGAAAGTGGTTTTATTTTAGCCCTTGGTGCTGGCGCTCTTTCTGATGTGGGTTGTAGGCTGCCCTGCCTGAGGCAACAGAGCACAGGAGCGTGCTACCCCTCACCTCATCCGAAGACTCAGCTGTGAGCAGGAAGTCCTGTCCCGTGTCATGCCAGCAGAGAGGGTGTGCCCTGTGGCATCCTTCACTGCAGAGGCAGAAATGGCCCAGAAAGAAAAGGGAGTGTGTTCCCAGGGCCGTGACCTTGTGACCCAGCACAGAGGGGTATCTCCTTCCCTAGGCCAGGACCCCCAGCCTCAACCCGGAGGCAGGGCCCAAGTGAAGGTCTCTGACTCCCAGGTGGCCCAGGGTGCAGGTTCTGAGGGCGTGGTCCTGGTTTGAGGTAGTGTTACTGCCATTTTCTGTGCAACTGAAAGGATCCTAGGCTGGGGCACAGGCAGGCTTTGCAGAGATCAGCGTAACCATAGCATCACCCTGAGATGGTTGAACAGGGTACAGTGGTGTCTTCAGGGGCTGCAGAGACAGCTTGAGCTATTTACCGCCATGCTCAATCGCCCCAAACAGCTGGGAGCCTGTCACTCTGATGCCTCTGCTGTGTCCATTTTTTACTTCTCTGTTCCCACCTCAGCTTCTGCTCTGTGCTCTGTCTCTAACAGAGAAATCAAGCTCACTAGATTGTGAGCCCTCTGAAGGCAAGGACAGTGTCAGTAGTTCATGTCTCTTTACCCCTAGAGATCACAGCTCAATATTTGGCATACAGTAGATGCTCACTAAATGTCATTCGATTCCAGTTGTTCTGTTTTGAGGCAGGGTCTCACTGTCACCCGGGAGTTCAGTCGTGAGATCTTGGCTCACTACAACCTCCATCTCCTGTGCTTAAGCAGTCCTCCAGCTCAGCCTCCCAAGTAGCTGAGACTACAGGCACACACCACCACGCCCAGCTAATTTTTGTATTTTCAGTAGAGACAGGGTTTCCCTATGTTGCCCAGGCTGGTCTCCAACTCCTGGCCTTAAGTGATCCATCCACCTCAGCCTCCCAAAGTGCTCAGATTACAGGCATGAGCCACTGCACCTGGCCAGCCAACTGTTTCAAACTGAAGTGGGCCAGGAAGCTGAATTTCACCTACAATTCCAAGTCAAAGCAAATGTATTCCACAGGCACGGGTGGGGGTGCTGTTCCTCTGGGGGTTTTTTGCCTGCTTTGTGAATTCATACAGGCTATCTAAAAGTTTGAATGCCAGAGAGTCAGAGGGCTGTGAGTCTAAAAGTTGGGAACGTGGGGGAGAGTGATTTTATCTGCAACAGGTTCCTGGGTCCTGGTGAGTTCTGTACACCCTCAGTGACCACTGATTCCGGGCCAGGCCAAAGGCCCATCTGGGCACAGGAGATCCCAAGGTGAGTAAAGTCAAGATGCTGCCCTTGAACGGGAGGCAGGCAGCCATGTCACATTGATAAATGTGCAGGTCCCAAAGGCAGTGCAGAGAAGCAAGTCCACCTGGTTCCAGGAGGCAGTGACATCAGGAAAACCTATCCAAGGGCGGTCATCTGTGCAGGGGTTTGAAGGATGAGCATGAGTTTGCTAAGCTGAAAAGGGAGCCAAGGGCTTCCTGGTGGAGAACAGCTTAGGCAAGAGCGTGAGCCTCAAGATGGGCAGGGGGGCCAGGCTTGGAATCGGAGGAGCAGAGAGAATGAGGTCGGCAGAGGTCAGTCATGGAAGGTTTGGGGTCGTGGCAAAGGAGCAGTAGGAGCTGCAAGAGGAATGTGACCCAGGAGGAGACAAGGCTCCCTCTGCGTAAAGACGGATCACGCCATTGACCAGGTGGACTGTAAGACACAATAGGAATGGGAACCCTGAGAGGCCTTCACAAAGGATCAGGGGCCCAGGGGGAGCACCAAGGAAGGACCCTGTCAGAGGCCAGCTTTGGGGGGAGGTGGACAATGTTTTTGAGGGCTTCAGCTGCTGCAAACCTCAACAAATCATATTTTGCCTTCAAAGGTCAGCCGAAGACAACTATTGGAAAAACGACAGTCCATTGATAGTCACCATCCCCTCCCTGTGCATTTCTTTACCATTCTCAAAATGCCACCATCTCATTGAACCTCCATATCATCCCATTTTGCAGATAGGGAAACTGAGGCCCTGTGATGTCACGCAGGGGTTAGCAGCAGTTCTAGACTAGAAGCTACGGAGCACAACCAATTCAGCCCTGGGTGTCAGGCTCAAAATCCAGTTCCTTGTCCGGGAGGGGGTCCCCGGGGCCGTCTGGCAGCCCATAGTACAGGTCTTCCTCTTTCTTCTCAGGTTCCTCCCCACCTGTGTCCGAAGCCTCCTTCTCCTCCACCTTTGTCCTTGGGTACCACTGCCAGTTGTTGGGCAGGGCTGTTTCCCACTGCTGCCCCTCTTGGGGCTCATCCTCCAATGTTGGGGCATCGATCAGGGCAAAGTCTTGGAAGTGGTCCAGCAGGCACCTGCAGCCCCGAGGCTCCTGTCGTGGGGAACAAGCTTCCTCCCCGTCATGTTGAGATGCATTGGGGCTGCTGCCTTCACTGGAGCCCATGTCCAGGTCATCTTGGAAGGAAGCCAAGGGGGCAGGGCCCTGGGGACAGGCCGGAGGGCTGCAGGGGCAAAGACGACAAGGGCAAGGGTATCTCTGAGTCAAAATGCCTGGGTCCACATTCCAGCCACTAGCTACAAAACCTAGGGTAGGTTAATCCACCTTCCCGGGCCTCAGTTTCCTCCCAATAACAGAATTCACTCCTGTAGTTCTTTCTCAGGTTTACAGCAGATAATATATGCAGGGCACTTTGCATGGTGCCTGGCACATAGAAAGTGCTCAAGAAATAGGGCTATTATTATGTTATTGTCTGAACCAAGTCACTCATCTACTTCTCCAATTATTCAGGCCTCTCTGTTGTCATAGACCCAGTTACCCTGGGGTGTCCCCCTGTGTCTTTGCCTCCCCCATTGGACTCAGAGCTCCTCAGGGTAGATTCCAATGAAGTTGGTGCTCAGTAATGTGGATGGAATGAATAAATACATGGACGAACAAGGAGCTCAGTTCACAAACAGACAGGGATGGAGTGGAGTGGGCAGTGCCTTGCCCAAGGTAACAGAGAAGGTCAGCGGCAGACCCAAATTTGAACTCGGGTCCTCTGACTCCTGGCCCCCTGCTACTCACGACAAGCAAACAGAGACAAGCATTCAGAGACAGCAAGGGCCTACTGGATGCCAGGCACTTAAATGCACTGTCCCAACCCTCAACATTCCTGGGTAGTAGGAATGATCATTCCTGTGTGGGGAAACTGAGGCTAGGGAAAGTAAGGAACCTACCACAGCTACACAGCACAGGAGATTTGAACGAAGGCCTGACTCCCAAGCCCATACTCATTTGTCCGCCACACCTGCCACATCTCAGGGTGTCCCACACCCTCCACTGCTCTCTCCTTCCTCCCAGTGTCCCCACCCACCCCTCGGTGGTCCCCCATTCCTCTCCTTTTTAACCCTTGAACTGGGCAGCAGCCCTGCTCCTGCCCTCTGAGCACTCACCCAGGCCAGTTCTGAGTTAGCCATCTTTCCCCTTCACTCTCATCTGAGCCCCTGGGGATGACCACGGCGGCCTCCATCCAGGCCTGAACGTCGCCAGGGCCACCTTCTCCTCCATCACTGGTTCCCAGCTTCGGCTGCCCCGTGTCAGGGGCCAGCAAGGGGCGGGGGTCCTCACTGTAGCTCATGACTTTCATCTGGATGTGGCTGAAGTCAGGCAGGCTCTGGTCATAGGCGGCTTCCTCCCACAGCCTTACATAGGGTGGCTGGGGACTGGGTCTGGAGTGGGAGAGAGAACAGGCAGGCGGCAGAGTCACTCAGCAAACATCAGTGTTCTCCCTGGCCCCGTTTGCTTTGGGTATGTGGTCTTCCCTCACCTCACAAGAAGCCTCTGGGGGATGTTACTGCACCCGTTTCACGGATGAGGAGGCTGAGACCCAGCCAGGTGAGTAAATTAAGTGACAAAGCTCTGGCCTGACCCCAAGTCTGACTCTCTATCCAGTGTTCTTTTCACCTGATGCCTCCAAAGTTAACCACAGGATGCAATTGCAAAATGAAGACCAGTTAACACTGAGTTTGCTAGGTCCCAGACGGTGGGTAAAGGCTGAATGCTTATCAACCCAGGATTCTAAACAGTATTCTAAACAATGCCTTCAGGCAGAAATTCTCATTCCCGGTTTACAGATGAGGACACACCCAGCAATGGCAGTCTACAGCAATGCGGCGCTCTTTCCCGCCAGGCTCTGTTAGTTGGCTCATCTAACCCTTACCATAATTACAAGAGATACTATGAGGAAACCAAGGCACAGAGTCTCTAACTGAACCCAGGCGACACGGACCCTAGGTGATGGCACTGGAGCTCCAGACATCATGTTCTCTATGACTGTGCTACAGTCCCTCTGGAAAGTAAGGTTCAGAGATTAGGCCCCTTGCCTAGGGTCACACAGCCGGGAAGTGACTGGGAATAGCTCAGAACTCAGGGTGGCCAGAGCCCCGCTGTATCACAGGAGCCCACCCCAAGTAACCAGCCCTGAGATGGAGCTTGGACTGGCCTCCATACCCATGGGGTCTATCCTCTTCATTCCCACTGAGACCATTAGTCACCTTGTGTGCCAGGGGCAGAAAATGCCATTATCATCCCTTTCCCCAAGCAAAGCAGAGGTCATCCCTGACCCAGCCAACAGACCCTGGGCTTGAAGCCCGGCCTCCTGAGCACAGAGCCACAGCTCAGGGGGCTGCTGGTCCCACTGCCTCTCCAGGGCTGGAGCGTTCTTGGCTATGCCTTGGGAGCCAGGGCTCAAAACCTTCAGGGAGGGAAGCAGTTTGTGGCCAGATCAGGCTTGAAATCAGGCCCCACTTCCACCACTGCTGAGTGCAGGCCCCGCTTCCATCACTGTTGTGAGCAGTCCCCGCTTCCATCACTAACTCCCCATGAGGTTTGGGGCTTGTGACTACACTTCTCTGAGCCTCAATCTTCCCATCTGTATAAAGGGCCTAACACTCCCACCTCACAGGGTTTCTATGAGGACTGACGGAGATGATGGGTGCACAGTGCCTAACTCAGTTTCTGGCACACACAAGACACTAATGATGACAAACACTCATACTCATAGAAGACCTACTGTGTGTCAGGTTCTGTTCTTAGCACTCTACATATATTATCTCACTTAACCCTCCCGAAAGCCCTAGGAGATAGGTACTATTAGTATCCCCATTTTATAGACAAGGCAAAGAGAGGTCAGTAGCTTGCCGGAAGTCAAGCAGCGAGTAGGCAGCAGAGCCCTGAGGCTGCGCCTTGGCCATCACCATGCCTCTTGTTTGTCACTAGTAGAAGCAGTTACTCCTGTGACTCTATTTCACTGTTTCTCACAGTACATTTATTTCACTATATGATTTGCTTCATGGAGATCTTGTATTCACCATAACGCTCCGTCTTGTCCCTGATAAGACAAAGTCCCTGGGCCTCAGTTTCCTCATCTGTACAATGGGAAAGATAATGCGTGACTCACAGAAGTGAGAGTTGAAAACAGTCCATAATTTCTAATAATACATTCTCCGTAAGCGAGAGGGCACACAGCCTTCCTGCCGTCTCTCGCGCTCTCCTCAGTCAGGGGAGACTGGCCTATGGGGCTGACCGCTCCCCTCCCCAGAGGGCCTGGCACCTACCTCTCCATCTCGGCAGCAAGCCCGTTCTCCAGCAGGCCCATGGCCTTTGGGGAGAGGATGCCTTGGAAGTCAGAGTCAGCAGGGACGAAGGTGATCTGCAAGCAAAGGAGAGACAGCCTCTGTGCAGTTGACCAGGGTGGGAGGCTACTGTCCCCTCAGGAACTCGACAAACCTCTCCATGCACTCTGGGAGATGGGCTGCAACACGGAGGCCTCCCTGCTTGACAGGAGAGGGGCCTACTTGGGGCACAACACCAGTGGGAGGACGGACCTGTGTGCTCCTCCTCCCTCCCTGGTTCTTCATTCATTCAACAAACATTTATTGAGTACCTGCTGTGTGCAGGCACTGTCACAGGCACTAGGAGCAGCAGGGAGTGAAAGAGAACCCTGTCATTGAGGAGCTCACATCTTGTCATTTCCCAGGGGTCTTTGTCCAGTGTCCAGCACACACCTGGCACACAGTAGGTGCTTCATCCATGTTTGGTGAATGAGTGGAAAGCAAATCATCGTCATGTGTTTTTTGCCATATGGGCTGCAGTGGGTGACAGAGAAGTTATGCCTGCCAGCCCCTGTCCCTGAACTTTCAGGAATCAAGAGGTCTCTGCAAGTCCAGCCCTAGACTGGCACTGCGTGGTTCAGTGGGAGGCAGATCATGAAGGAGGCAGTGGGTGAGGGAGAGGAGCTGTGCCTGTGGGCTCTGGGAGAGGGGTTGAGGATCCCTTCTCTGCCAGGTCCTCACTGGGGGCCCTAGGCAGGTCATCTCTCTTCCCAGTCTCTCTGTGCTCCTCTGTATAACGGGGCTACCCTCGAAGAGATACTTGCACAGCCATGTTCAGAGCAGCACTATTCACAAGAGCCAAGAGGTAGATGCAACCTAAGTATCCATTGATGAACGAATGGATAAACAAAATATAGTCAATCCATACAATGAAATACATTCAGCCTTAAGGGTGGAACTTCTGACACATGTTACAACATCACTGAACCTCGAGGACATTATGCGGAGCAGAAAGACAAATACTGTATGATTCTACTTTTCTGAGGCACCTGGAATAGTCAAATCCATAGAGCCAGAAAGAAGAATGATGGTTGCCAGGGGCTAGAGAGTGGGGCAATGGGGAATTGTTATTTAATGGGTATAGAGTTTTAGCTTTACAAGACGAAGAGCATTCTGGAAATTGGTTGGATGACAATGTGAATGTACTTAGCTGTACTATACACTTAAACATGTTTAAGACACTAAGTTTTATGTTACACGTATTTTATCAGGAGTTTTTAAAATGGGGCTAGTTATGCCGACCTCTTGAGGTTGCTGTGAAAATTTCATGAGATCATATGTAGGGAATCCCTCAGCATGGTCCCCAGCACATAGTAACTACGCAGTAAATCATAACTTGATGCTATTGATGATTCAGTTGTCTGATTTCTCTGAGTCTTGCTCTCCTCAGTTGAAAATTTTTCCAACAAATATTTGTTGAGACCCCACTGTATTATACCAGATTCATAAATAGCACTTCCCTATTCCCCTTCCCATAGATCGAAGTGAGTAGAAGACACTTGTCTGCACTAGGAAAGCTCCATTCTGATGTGGAGAAGGGAATGATGGATGGAGGGGGCCTTTGTACCCCTATGAGGAGTGAGCTTCCTCTAGATGTCTAGAAATAAAACAGAGAGCCTGGGCAATGAAGCAAGACCCTGTCTCTAAAAAAATAAATTAAATAACAAACTTAGCCAGGTGTGGTGGTGTGCACCCATCATCCCAGCTACTTGGGAGACTGAGGCAGGAGGATTGGTTGATCCCAGGAGTTCGAGGCTGCAGTGAGCTGATTGTGCCTCTGCACTCCAGCCTAGGTGACAGACTGAGCTCCTGTCTCTTAAAAAAAAGAAAAGAAAAGAAATAAGGCAGGGGCGTGGGCATCTTCCACCCCCACTAAGGATGCCTTGTACTTCCCAGCTGGTACTGTACTTCCTAGAAGCTGCCTCTTCCTCTGCCTCGTTACCTCATGGCCCAGTCAGCACCATCATCACCACCATCATCATCATCACTATCCTCATCCTCATTACCATCAATCATCACCATACCCATTAACGCTACTAAAATATCATCATCACCATCACCATCATCACCACTACCATCATCACTATCACCATCATGACCATTACCATCATCATCATCACATCACCATCATTGACATCTTCATTACCATCAACATTGTCATTACCATCACCATTCTATCACCATTCTCATCATCACTATCTTCACCATCACCATCCTCACCAGCATCATCACTATTATCATCATCATCACCGTTATCACCATCACCATTCTCACCGTCATCATCACTATCACCATCACCGTTCTCACCGTCATCATCACTATCACCATCACCGTTCTCACCGTCATCATCACTATCACCATCACCGTTCTCACCCGTCATCATCACTATCACCATCACCGTTCTCCCCGTCATCATCACTATCCATGCCATCACCCGTTCTCACTGTCATCATCACTATCACCATCACCGTTCTCACAAAGTCACATCACTATTATCATCCACCATTCTCACCTACCGTCATCATCACTATCATGTCATCATTACCATTCTCACCATATGCATCCTCACCATCACCATCTCCTAATCACCATCATCATCATTATCATCACCATCCTCACCATCACTATCTCATAATCACTGTCATTGTCGTCATCATCACCATCCTCACCATCACCATTCTCACCATCACCATCCTCACCATCATCATTATCATCATCACCATCCTCACCATCACCATCTCATAATCATCATCATCATTATCATCATCACCATCCTCACCATCACCATCTCACCAATCATCATCATCATTATCATCATCATCACCATTCTCACTATCACCATCCTCACCATCATCATCACTGTCATTGTCATCATCATCACCATTTACCATTCTCACCATCACCATCCTCACCATCACCGTTCTCACCGTCATCATCACTATCACCATCACCGTTCTCACTGTCATCATCACTATCACCATCACCGTTCTCACCGTCATCACTATTATCATCACCATTCTCACCGTCATCATCACTATCATCATCATCATTACCATTCTCACCATCGCCATCCTCACCATCACCATCTCCTAATCACCATCATCATCATTATCATCACCATCCTCACCATCACTATCTCATAATCACTGTCATTGTCGTCATCATCACCATCCTCACCATCACCATTCTCACCATCACCATCCTCACCATCATCATTATCATCATCACCATCCTCACCATCACCATCTCATAATCATCATCATCATTATCATCATCACCATCCTCACCATCACCATCTCATAATCATCATCATCATTATCATCATCACCATCATCCTGCATTCTCACTATCACCATTACCATCATCATCACTGTCATTTGTCATACATTAATCACCGATACCATTCTCACCATCTGCATCCTCACCATCTGCATCTCTAAATCACCATCATCGTTATCGTCATCATCCTCCACCATCTGCATCTCGCCAATCACCATCATCATCATTATCATCATCATCACCATTCTCACCATCACCATCCTCACCACCATCATCACTGTCATTGTCATCATCATCACTATCACCATTACCATTCTCACCATCACCATCCTCACCATCAGCATCACTGTCATCATCACTACTATCACCATTACCATTCTCAGCATCAACATTTTTGACCATCTACCATCCTCCTGCATCATTATCATTTATCATCATCATCATCACCATTCTCACCATCACCATCCTCACCATCACCATCTCACAATCACCATCTTTACCATAATCATTCTTACCAGCACCATCACTAGCGTATCTGTTTATCATTATCACCGCATCACCATTCTCACCCCTCCATCCCCACTGCACACTCTCGTTATCACCATCATATCATCATCACCACCCCTAGGAAAAGCTTAGAAAAGAGGATGGAGCATCTTAAAATACAAGTTTTTTTGTGGGAGAGACAGGCAGAGTTGAAGCTGGGGAGGAGATGGCAACATGTTTCTCGAACAAGGAATAAGCTGGAGACACCAAACTAAAAGCAGCTTGGCCTTTCTCCAGGGCAATGGAGGTCACCATGAAGGACTCTCTCAGCAGGAGAGTACACTGTAGTTTGTGTATAGACAGAAAACGAACGATCTCAGGAGGAAGGAGGCTGCAGTCAGGACCCTGGTCTGGGCTACCTTGCAGCAGGCAGGAGCGGAAGGGCGGATGCATGGGCTGGAAGGCCCTGCTCTCTCTCTGCTACTCTTTCCCTGCTCACAGCTCTGTCCCCGCATCTTCACCGAATGGGTTCAGCACCTCCAACTGCCCTGATTTGCCTGATCTCCTCTCCTCTCTCATACCTGAGGTAGCTGACCACAAATCTGACCAGGTCTACTTTAGAAATTCAATAAGATAACCTGGGTGGAGGGTGCTGCAGTTGCTATGCCTGCTTCACAGCGAATTATCCTAAGTGTGTGAACTGTAAATATCACATAGTTCCTATTTTGGGTTTAAATTCTTCATTATTCAGATGACTGTCAGCTCTCACCAGACCAGAGAAGAAGCTCCCTAGTATGTGGCTGCCCCAGGCCTTCCTTCTTCTGGATGTCTTTCTCTCAAACTGCAAAGCTGGTCACGTCCCATTAACTAAGGACAAGCTCCCAGATTCATACCACCATGGCATCCGAGGCCCTGAAGAGCTGAGCCACTCCCCCACCTTTACCTTCCCTCCCCTCTGCCTCCTCACCCAGCCACAATGGCCCACTTGCCTTATTCTTTCGCCATATGGCTTTGATCATGCTGCTCTTCTGCCTGGAATGTCTTTATCTTCTCTGCCTGGTGAACTCTTATAAATACAAAGCCCAGCTCACCTTCTCTGTGAAGTGTATTCCTCCCCTTCAGGCCAGCAAATAGTCTCTCCACGAGACCTCTAGCTAAAGACATGGACAGCTTAATGCATGTTGGTATTGGCCAGCTCCCTCACCCTGTATCCTATTTAGCTAATTCTATTCTCTTATACTTATATCTCCCCATCTATCCAAACTTTCCATGG